ATTTTGCGGCCGATCTTTTCACCATATTTTTGTGTTTAAAGGGATATGGGGATGTTGGTCAGCTAGAAGGCGTTTTTCGTGACGGAGATGATAAAAAGGTGGTCGATAGTGAATGTCTAATCATCAAATTTGATTTAGTGTTTGCTGTGCTAAACTACCTCTCTGAAATAATTTTAATTTTTAAGCCTTAGTATATCCTAACTTTTTCTCAGGGCTTTTTTGATCTTCTTGCTGTTCTCGAGGTGGACTACATAAGAAGTTTGGTTTTTTTGATGCTGGTTTCTCACGTATTACTTTTTGTTGAACCTTCTTGCCGATTCAATTTGAACGTCAGCCGGGCACTTAAAAGGGCCAATGAGCTCCGGCTTTCTTGCATGAAAGAAGTATGTACAGAATTGACAAGTTTACCAAAATTCTCTCATTACTGGGCCGATGAAGGACGTATCGCAAGGCCACGCTTGTTGTTTGCCATGTATCGTCATCCGTTGAAAGCCGACATAGGGTCTGTGAAGAAGGTGCTCTTTTACTTATCTGTAGTTTATTGCTATAATGTATTTTAATCTAATTTTCGCGCTATTCATTTGATTTTATAGAAAGACCTTATAGCGAAACTTGAACAGAGTATTGAGAACCAGGTGTTCAATATCTTAAGGGCAAATAGGGTTATTGGCAATCCAAAAAAGTTTGTTTTTGTTTTTTTTCTTATTTTTTCTTTCCCCGTCTTCCCCATTTCAAATCTTAGACGAAGCCTTGTTATAGAAGGAATAATGGAGTTTCAATTCGTTCTGAAGGTTACCCGTTTGTACACATATTTAATTCAAACGATATATTACGAGACAGAATCCGAGATTTAGTAATGACGATAATCGAAACCAGTGAGGAGGTGGAAAATAAAGAACATTATGACAAAGATAGAAACCGTAAAGTTTGATTGGACTCTTTATATCTTGCGCGTTTTTATTTGTTTTTTTTAATTTGCAATGTGTCTATAATGTGAACATTTTCAATATTTCTACCATTTCGTCATTTTATTTCGCTTTTTTGTAATGTTCAAGGATTCGCGAGGTTTCTTGAAGAAAATATTGAAGAAGTACGGAACGATAAAGAAAGGACAACTTTTTACGAGGTTTTGTTGCTTGGCAAAGGAATGCCTCTCTCTCACCAATAGTTGTATAAAAATTTAACTTGTTTAGCCTTATTTGCGACTAGGTTTTCACATATTTCAGTCTTGTTTTAGGTTCCAAGATTGAAGCGCTTTTTGGTTGGATGTAAGACTGTCCGGAAACTAATATTTGAAAAAAATTTGATAGGCAAAGAGAGGCTCAACGAAATGTTAAATGTGGAATTGATTTTCTCTAAAAGGCTGGTTCAGTTTTTATGCTAATGATTTGAGCATTTCAGAACTCAAACATACTTCTTATGTAGAGGATTAACCACGTAGTATAATTTGTCATTTTCAACTGGGAATTTATTTGGCAAACGTGGTTTTCTAGTTTTAATTTAAATTTATTCATTTACCTTTATTTCTTTCAGTATGGGAGACTCGTATTTAGCTCAGGCAAAAGCAGTTTATCTTGCTACGGAACCGCGTGAACTGGATAAAGGGAAAAAGTTTGTTTACACGAGTAAGCAGCATCAATTCAAGGTGAATTTTATAAAGAGTGTGAATGATGGCTTTTCTTAAATACATTTATCACTTGCAGCTAGCACGTGCTATTGAAAGGTTGGAGGGCCTCTATCATGGATCAGATCTTGAGCGAGCGAAGGAAGAATTAAGGCAGCGGTGCGAAGAAATATGGGCATCAAAGAAAGCTTGCGAAGTTGTCTCTCTGACTGGAAATTTATGCATACTTGCGGCAAGTTGCAGTCTTTTTAGGACCTTTACATCTTTTATCATTTTTCCTACTAGTTATGAAGGTCTTTTTACGCCGTTTTTTATTTTTTTTTAGAGGAATATGTTTTGCAAATGTAGAGGCACGTGACTTTCTGAGTGTTGTTAATTATGCTTTTAAATTTTTACAGGCTCACTTTTCTCCTAGCAATCTTCAAGTTGCAGCGTCAAAGCGAACACTACATTCCAGTTCTGCTCGATTTCTCTCAACCTGCAACTGTGGCAGATCTCAGATTATACGAAAAGACCCATTTACCCTAAAGGTCAGTTCCCCTTTCTATTCTGAGAGAAGAACTTTGCAGAATATGCGCGCACTTTGATAGATGGGGAGTACTTTCTGTTTAATATCCAGTAAGTAAAAGGTAATATGGTTTGAACGTACATTTGACAGGGTTTTTCACAAAACTTTTGTATATGGTTTATTTTCAGGAAGCCAACTATGATTTTTATTCGCAGTCTAGTTTTTTATGCTGTCGCGGGCTGGAGTGTTACGCTTTTGCCGTTTTTGATAAGAGCGAATCTTCGGCAAACGCAGCTCGATCGGGGGTTCAAATATCACAAGAGCAAGATACTGGATTTCCACCGCTGCGGGGATCTTCAGAAAATGTTTCTCAAGAGCCGAGCGAGGGTTCTTGTAGTTTCTTTATTCACGGGAATTTTCATATTTTACCTTGCTCGTAGAAAGCTTGTTTTTTCTGGGAATGAAATTTTTCAAAGCAATTAGTTATCTTTGTTTGGCGTTAAGAGTTCCTTGACTGCTGTCTATCAAATAGAAAACTTTCCAGATCAGATTGAAATACTTCTGGATAGGGATAATAGATACCGATTAGACGCTTCCCAGGACGATGCTGAGCTACCTCAGGGTATATGTAGTTCCTATTTCACTGCAGCAGTCCCAATATGCCCTTGCTTTATTGTTTTAGATTTTTGATCACTTGAACTAAAAAAAATTTTTTTTTTTTGAAGATGGAAGATTCAGTGAAGAGGGGAGTTTGTTACTCAGTGCGGAAGAGGTAAATAGTGGTATCTCAGCAGTCTCTGAAGAAAGAAATAGCGACGATGACGCTGAGAATCCAAAGGCGGAGGATGAACCGTCCAGAGTAGTAGAAGCAGAGTTTGGCAAAGCGGTAAGATGGTCAATATGATGCAGAAATAAATTAATTTCTTCGATTCAATTTCAGCATATGGATGAATATGCGTCCTCTGGGGAAGAGAACGAAATTGCGGTGGGAGAAGTGAGCACATCATATTTAGATGATGACGACGTGCAGCTGCGAGAGGGAGAAATTAGCTTAGATGAACGAGATCGATCTTCTGCTGTTGAATTAGAGGAGGAGATGTCTCGCCTTCGTTCGCTGTTCAAAGGTATATTTAAAACTTGCAGTCCAAAAATAATGTTGCAAGAAGCATTTTATAACTCAGTTATTCAGGTCATTTTCTTGAATGTGTTCCGAATTCAGAGGCCCCGTTATGCTTACCTCTTTTCCCATCCTGGTCATTGATTTGCTTAGGATCGTCTAGCATATACAGGTATGTTTCGTTCTTTACTTCAAGGTTTTGCCTTGTTTTGGCAACGGGTCGTACTAAAAATGGTATTCATAGTCACAAATTCGGGCTGAGAGATGCACCAAACTTTAAAAACGGTACACAGTTTTTACTACCACTGGATTTTTATCTTAACGTGGATGTAGAGAGTTGGGAAGCAGACATGAAGGAAATTATGAGCGAGTCTATTTCATATCGGTCTCGTCGGCACATGAGAGGTAGCAATGGTCGCGAAAAAGTGAAGGTCCTTTTGCTCTTTCTTACGCCCTCTCACGTCTTTCTAGTTTTCGTGTCTAACTTTTCCTAATTTCTTAAAGTGTTTCTGTGACTATGGTCGTGTTAGTTAAGACTGGGTAGTTATTTATGACTAATTTTTTTCAGCTTTTTGTTGGATTTGAATATGAATGTCCTAGAGGTCATCGTTTTATGATACGAGATGCACATACTCCAGTAAATGGACCAATTTCTTCGAAGGTATCTTTATCAAACGAAATTTTTTAAAGCTTTATAGCCTTGGTGGAAGAGTTAATTTTTATCTTACAGGATAATGGATCTGTTCTACTAAGATCAGAATTATATCTTTGGATGCCTTGTACTTGCAGGAGAGCTCCTAAAGTTAGTGCTCAGTTAATGCGGCTACATGTAGTTACTCCCAAAGCGCCAGTTACAGTAACTGTTAATCCGAAAGTACAGGTAACTTGTAGAAAAATTATCATAATCCACTTCAAAGATTTTTTTTATCAGTTTTATTTTTTAGCCTTCATCGAAAGAAACGATATTTTTCACTGGGGAAAAAGCTATTCGTCTTGAGTGGGCAAGGTATTATGTATTACGCTTTCCGTACGTTTATGAAGGATTGCAGGGCCCGATTTACATGCCTGATAAGCCAACATTTTCAGGTAAATTGCTCCCAAATTGTATTAATGTTGAATATACTCCTTTACATTAGAATGTAATCAATTTCTACGGCGAAGCTCACTGTTTTCTTTCAAATAATAAAAGTAATACGGTGTTGTTTATTTAGTGTTCTTAATTATTCACCAGATTTTTGAAAGCTGAGTTATTTAAATTGTCTGTGATAATTGTTGTAGCAATTCTATATGGGCTATTGTTTTGTGAATGTCTAATTATATTGCGTTACTCTTAATCTTGGTCCTTCTCCTTATTCATGACGTTTTGGTTTTGTTTCTGAAATTTAATCGTTTTTATTTTACAGTATCTTCAAATGTATACTTTTGATCTCATTCAAACTGTAATAAAGATTTATTTGAGGAAATCAATTCTTTGGAGATAAATCCATTTGGTGATTAGAGAGTTAATCTTAAGAAAATCATTTTTTGTCAGTACATATTTTGGAAAAACATGTTGAAAGCACTATTAGTACAGTTGAAATTGTCGCAATGAATGTTGAAGTGGCTATAAAGACTCCGAAGTTGGCTGGATTAGTACAAATTTCGTTTGAATATTCTTCCAACAGTTTAACTTTGTTTTCCTGCTTGAAAGGCTCAAGTTCTGCAAATAGTATTAGTAAATGGAAGGGGAGTTGGTCTTGGCTGCTGTGTTTCTAAATGAATAAGCTGTTGCTCAATGATTTTGTGAACGAGGGCGACTTTTTTTGTTGAGCGGCAACAGAATTTCTGTCAAAGTCGGTAGTGGGTCTAGAGCTATACCTTTGTCTGGAACTGGAAAGTCAATGTCCATAACATTTAATGTGGGTGTATGAAGTCTCCAAAAATTGTTCGTCTTATTTGTTATCATTCGCCGTTCTCTTATAGGAGAGCAAGAAGGTGGCTTAAATTTTCATATTTATTGTAAGGTTTACCAGTATAGTAAAAACGAGTGACAGAAATTTAAGACGATAGAAAGAGCTCTTACTCGTTTGAGTTGCTTCTTGAATTTACGGTTAAGAACTCACACTTATTTCTTCACAATCTTCCTCGCCGCGCACGCATACAGTAATGTCACATCGGAATCCTATATCGGAACTGTCAGGGAACTTAAACACTGATGACCGTGCTGTCGCAGTTAATGAGTCAGAGGCATAATCAGGCGTAGGAATAATTGCTTCGTCAGCTGAACAGCTGAAAAAATCTGGTATACGACTTCCGTGCTTCCGACTTGGAGTTCAAGAAGTTTTTTGGTAAAGTACTACACTATTCAAGCTTTTTTTATTGTGATTCATCGTTATCAACATAAACAATTTTATCATATGAAATAGAACAAAGTTTCAAAGTAACGCTTACCCTCTGTCGTCTATAACAAGAGCATTTTCTCTCTCACTGCCTTCCACATAACAGTTGCTTACAAGCATTTTGTAAAGCTCTAAGGAAGACTTTATAAGTAGTTTACAAATACAAATGTTTCGAAAAAACTGTTAATTGATGATAAAAATATGGAATGTAAATCAGCAATGTAAGTCAGTATATTTAGAAGATGTAATAAATTGTTATTTTTAGAAAAGTTCGATTTTTTTTACAAAACTTTATTTGCTCAGGTGGCAGTGGACTGAAAATTATTTACGTTGATACTTTGACGTACAACTCCATTCATGCCTGATTTCGTCTCCCACTCTAACATTATTTAATGTCTCTTTGTTAGGCCCTCTTACTTGATAAGTACATTTTGGTGGTTCATTGATGTCAATCAGTTCCTCTAACGGTGGCATACTGTAATCTTGAAGAAGCACTCTCATAACTGTTTGTTCAAATAATGAGTGAAATAACATAAGCATTTATCGATGGGGCAAGTCTTAACGATATTGAAACGAAAACTAGCATTCATAACATCCGTTTCATGCTTTTTTCAAAATTTCAAATTTCTGTCAGCGCCTAACATAAATTTACTTAAGCTCCTGGTACTTTTATCAATTGTCAAAATTTTTTTGAGGTAC